GTTCAAGGATTTACACTGAGCAAAATATGTAAAACTATATTTTATTAGTTCTCCCTATTATAAATTTAATAAAAGGACTTCAAAATTTGGATTAAAAAAGGAAAAAGATCAGGATTTATACGGTAAAATCTTATCATACACATAATCTATTGATTTACAATGACTGAACATAGACATAGGTTGGCAAAAGCTTAAACATGGTACAAGAATGGGTCTAATTAAATTAAGTTGTGTTTATAGGAGAAAAAATATTCATGCTACAAACTTTCATTGTAATGGAAGGAAAATTTGATTCAGTTACTTATTTAGCTTAAATAAATTGAATTGTAAATATCTTCATACACGTGAATATGTTGATGTATGATTTTGTGTATGAAATTGAAGAATTCAAACAAAGACGTAGATTTGAGATTGAATAAAACATGTGAATAGTTTGTATTTCATAACACAACAAAAATACTTCATTGATTATTGACCAAATGCATAAAACAACAATAATATACAGCTCACATGTGACATCTTTTTATCTTGTGGTTAGTATATAGCTCATTTATTATATTTTTAGTCCCAGAAATCTATACATTTAGCAAGAGAAACTATCTGCAGATTTAAACAGTAGAAGCTCTGAAATTGGCCGGAAAAGGTAACAATTTTACTTAAAAATTTACAATCGAAGAAACTTGCATATATCTGCACAGATCTGTGTATGGGAAACAATTTTACCCATAAGAACTCCGTGATTATGGAGACCCAAGCCTCCGTAATGGGTCTCCATAATCACGGAGGCCACAACAAGGCCTCCCTATAACTGAGGCCTTCGACCGAGGCCTCCGTGCTATGGAGGCCAGGCGTTGGCCTCTGTAACACAAAGGCTTGCCTTGCCCAAGGCAAGCCTCCGTAACATAGAGGCCTGGCCTCCATAATCACGGAGGCGAGGCCAAGGCAAGGCCTAATTTCATGTCACGAATTTTATGCCATGAATTGTCTGAACTGTTTAGACACGAAGATAAGATATTTTATTATCGATTTTAAAATATTTATTCATGTATAGGTTATGAAGATATAATGTTTATTTGGAACTCTTAAAAAAATTTCTCTTTTTTTAAATTTTTAGATTCATTCATAAATACGATATGATTTTTGGAATAATTTATGCAGATGTCTCTAGAATACATAATTTCTCCGGATCAATGATTTTCTGCTACAATTATCCAGTATCCAAATTTCGAATATCTTAAAGGCTTTGTAGAATTTATAGATTCGAATCAGCAATTTTCGTTGATGTGAAGTAATTTTTATGGTTTTATTTATGGAGCTTTCTACAAAGGAAAAAATGTACAATTTAGTAGTAGTTTGGTACATGAATTTATATTGAGGCTTGTGAATTGTTGGAAAAATGATGAAATTTGGGTAAGGTTAAACGATCGTGTAGCTAGATTTGGTATGCAAGAATTTTGTCTTATTACTGGATTACCTTGCCATGAACCATCCATGGACATTGATGATACAAATGATCGTTTTAGAAATCAATACTTTAATGGTACAAGTCGAATTAGTATGAGGATGCTTTTTGAAGCATTTCTTGCATGGGAACATGAAGAAGATAAATTGAAGCTTGATTTAGTCATGTTGGTCGAATGTGTGTTGACACCCACTTCAAGACAAATTGATTATAGAATTTTGAGCATCTGGATGAGTTCCCTGCATATCCATGGGGTCGCAAAGCATATTTGATTTTGTTATATTCATTGAAAGCATCACAATATGAAAGAATGCAAAGGATGCAACAGAATGAACAAACAGAATGCAAGTATGCGTTACATGGGTATCCACTTGCAGTCCAGGTAATTAGTCTCTATTCTTGTATTGACTTATTATGTACAATTTATTCCCATAAATTTTTTTTTATGCATATAACATTTATTTTTAATTATCTTGCAGTATTGGATATACGAAGCATTTCCAAAAATCGAAAAGAAATTTGGACGTCGTAGACATAAAAAACAACAGAGTTCAAGAATATACAAGTGGAAACCCAACCAATTTGTAACTAAAAAAGAGAAAGCTTTTTTTTGTCTACTCGTAATGTATGTTTTTATGAATGTATAATTACTCTCACATTTAATTATTTTAAAATTAAATTAAATTCAAAATAAATGATTTTGGTATTTCAATTTGATTACAGATTCAAGTGATTGCTATGCTACAGCCTAATGAAGAAGAATTACAAAGTCTTTGATACAGAACTTTTTCATTGCCAGTGGATAATGAACACAGTAGATTAGATGGGATTGTAAATGGAGTATTGGATAATGCAGTAGAACAAATCCCAGACAATATATATGTTCAAGAAACGACGATTCCCGGTACTTTTACATCTTCACCTGTATTTGGGTCTAGCTTTGTTCCCAGTGGCTCCAACTCCTTAAGTGAAGAAAAGATGGAAAAATTGTTGGGTATCTACAAGCAACACGTAGCATCAGACGTGTCTGGTATATATAGTAACTTGAAGGCAGAATTTGCTAAAGAATCAAGATCTCACCACCATGCGGTTCTTGAAAACCAAAAATAGTTATTTGAGGAGCAAAAAAAATGGCAACAAGATTACATACAACATCATTATCAGATAATTCTTGACAACCAAAGGTAATTTTTCGAACAGCAATAGAAATGGAAGGAAGATAGATACCAGGGTATGCATCTTATATTGATACCAATTTAAGTTCAATGAAATCCTATGTCGATAAACAAAATCAGGAAACACTGAACACATTATCTGAATGGAAATCAAGTATGAAAGCTATTATAGGTTCCATGCAACAAGATGTCCCTCTCGATACAAGTGTTGTTCTTTGCGATAAACCAAAGAAGATATCAACAGTTGAACAAATTGAGAAATCTAAAAGGTCGATGAAAGAGAAGAAAAACAAAGGAAAACAAATACAATCTTCATCATCTTCAAATTGTCCTCTAGAAGACTATCCTATGTAAAGATACATAAAAATTAAAAATTTTATATCAGAGAATCAATCTGGGTAATAAATCTAATTTTACTTGTATTAGCTCAAATGTTCAAGTTCTCTTTTGATTTATTTGAAATTTGAAATTAATTAAAATTATGTCATACAGTGCATACTTGGACGATGGTAGTAACAATGTCTTCGGAAAAGACATGTTGAAAACTCTAATGGATCAAACACGGGACATAAATATTACTGTAAGTAAAGTCTATAAATTACAATAGATTTTATTTCATAGTCGATAGATATAATCTAATTTATATCTATTTATTTCATCAGAATATTGAGCTAGAGTTAAAACTATTGAGACGACGCATGAATGATGGTTATCCGCCTGTTTCAAAAGAATATGCAATTATGGATTTCAAATTTGAAACAGAATGTGCTCGTCACATGATGTGACATATTGACACGGGAATGGGAACCACTAGAGGTGAACCGAATGGAACTCTTTTGCAAAGTTATGTGAATGGCAAAGCACCTATATTTGGTCGTCCTTAGATGAGATGCAAGTATATATTAATTCCGTGCTCATATCCGGACAATAGCTGATACCTTTTTCTTGTCACTATTCTTGAATGGAAATTCCAAATATATGATTGCAGTAATAATGTCCACACAGCGGATCAAGTAAAAGCACATGCAAAATCTTCATTGACTATGGTACAATCATTATTGAATACGACTTTTTCTTCTAGAGGAGATATAAGTAAACATAGGAAAAAACAAATGGAGCAGGAGATTATACCTTACCTAATAAAATGTGCAAACAATGGGTAAGCATTTAAGTGGCTTGTTTTTTAGCAGAATATTTAATTTCATAAACTTAGTCATTTATTCTAACACTAAACTATTTCTTCCACAGGTCTAATTGTGGAATTTTCGTACTCAAATATATAGAATGCTTTGTTTTGGGATATCCAATTGAATCAGTTTCGTCGGATAGGATGAGCATATATAGACGAAAGATTGCGGTAGATATCTATAATAACGAATACTTTCTTCATCCCCATAAGTCTTAATTGTTGTAGATAATCAGAATATACTGATTGAAATATTATGTAATAAACTTGTGTTTTTTATCCTTTCTTTTGGTATTTTGTCACATCAGTTTATGTGTACATAAAATAAGACTACTTAGACCCAAATAAATAAAGATATGTTGGACATGGAATATTATGAAGGACATGTTTAAAGATAATGATCTGACCCTTTTGTATGCACCATGTTGAAGAAAAATCGTATTAACAAGTAAAATATAATTGAAACGCATAATAACATGTAAGAATAACTAACCTTGTATAGCTCAATGTTATTCTCCTTGACACAAGAAGGATTAGCAGAGAAAATATCCTCTTTTAGGCTAACAATAGATTGAGAGTCCAATTAAGCAAAACTTGTAATTATAGACCTTTTAAGTAGTATGTATCAAATTCAAAATTTCAAGGTAGACAACATTTTTTGTGAAACAATTGTGTGATTTTATTTCATCCATTGGCTTTATTAGAACTTTTATGTTTTCTCTTGTTCTTGCTCTACATAAAGTGACATATAATTGACCATGTGAGAAAATAGGTTCAAGCAAATATAGTCCAACGAAAGCTAAAGTTTGACCTTGAGCTTTGTTAATGGCATTGCAAAACAAGGACGAATGGGAAATTGAGTTCTCTTAAATGGTACCGAATACTTATCTCCTTCAAGTGGAATAAATGAAATTCTAGGTAAAAATATTTGCTTTCCACGATATTCACATATTCCAATTTCAGCTAAAATAACATTTCGTTTAAATTCTCGACAAATAAATCTAGTCCCATTACACAAACCTTCTGGAGGATTAATGTTTCTAAGCAACATAACAGGACAATTTTTTTTCGTACAAGCTCATGTGGAGGAATACCATTTGGAGTTAGACTATTCAAAAAGTCCTCATGAATAAATCCTTCTGTTTTATCAATTATTTCATCAATACGTAAATATCTCTCATGGAATTTCTTTAACTAACATATTATTTATTACATCTATATGTTCATTTTTTGGAGTCAAAATAACTCTGTTCATCATAGTATTCAAATTGTCACCATATGTGTGAAAATTAGGAAACACAATAGCAATTAGTTTTTTCAATGATTCAAATTCACTCTCAAAATCTATTATTATATCTGAAGGAAGTTTAATCATGTGACATGTATGTTCTCTTTCTATTCCATTTCCAATTCTAAGTAAATATTCACAAAACAAATGATCTAATTTAGCTCTCATATTCTTAGTCAATGTTAGTTGTGTAAAATATTGCCATAAATCTGAAAAAACTAAACTGGTCTTCATGATATCATCTTTTGTTCCTCTTTTTACTACTGGCAACACTTGTCGAAAATCTTCTCCGAACACAACCACCTTTTCGCCAAATGGCAATTCACATTTATTAATATCTTTTAACATTTTATCCAAAACTTCAAAAGCACATCTATTAATCATTGGTGCTTCATCCCACACAATTAGCTTTGTCATTTGTAAAAGTTGACCAAGTGATGATTGTTTACTTATTGACCATCGCATATCAAAACTTGCTTGAAGTGGGATTTTAAAACATGAATGACCAGTTCGCCCAGCCGGCAATAAAGAAGTAGCCACTCCTGATGATGTTGTTGCTAATGCAATAAGTTATCGAGATCGTACTACAGCAAGTAATGCCTTGTACAAAAAAGTTTTTCCAGTACTTCCTGAACTATCAATAAAAAAACTTCATTTTTATTATTTACAACACAGTCTAAAATAACATCATAGGCAGATTGTTGTTCCTTATTTAAATTCTCTGTAAAATGCATGTCACACTGAACATTAATATTTGTAGTCTCTTCTAAAATCATGTTTGCTAACACATCAGCATCATTCACAATAACGTCAACATCTACCAGACCAAAATCATTTATGTTTGTACCAAAAACTTCCAAGAATGAATTTATGCATCTCAAAGCCCTAATCTCGGCATCACATACTGTCATGCTTGCATGTAAAAAATCTTCTATCATGTACACTTTAAATTTAACCCATAAATTCCTAAGATTTGCAGGGCTACAAAAAATTAACACATTATCAAAGAGGCGACGCAATGATATAGGCATTTCGCAGGTGATTGCCTCATTTAAACACATTTCACAATAATTATTCTCACCTATTAGACCATGTAAAAATGCAGCTTCGGGATAAGTAGGCACAACAATGTTATTAATTATTCTTAAATCTTGAAAAGATTTAGGCCTTTTAACATGATTCTATAAAACTCTTAGAAAGTATTTTTCACCCTCAAATGAATTAACAGCAACTATTCTACCAATAACATTTTTCTTTTTTCTAGGACTCCAAACTTGAAAATATGTATTCCATACAAAGTATGTAGGAAAATCCTTATAAATGAAAGTTCGTGCATTTTCATTTGAAATATTCATTCTAAAAAATTCAGTTAACACTGTTTGTTGGATGGAGTCTTTATTTATAACTTCTGATAAATCATCTATTTCATTATATGTAACCAACTGAGCATCTTCAATATGTAGCTGCAAAGAAACTACAGAAGGAGATATGTCGAATAAATCAAAACTGAAAATTCTCCATATAGCTTCCAGTGCAGATATCCATCTAGCGGTTTGATAATTCGAAATCTCATCAACATAATGTTCATTAGTTTATTTATTCACAGTAAAATTAACATGGTCATGTCTTTTGTATACATATTTGTATAAGTATTTGGCTGCTTTAACAGAAGAACATATTTCAACATTAATGTGACAGTCATACTTAGCCAAAATATAAGAATTATATGGTACAACCCATCTATTGTTTAGTACAGACCCTCTGACCCTAACAGTAATACCATCGTCACGACGCCTATAAAGTGGATATGAATCACTACCTAATGAAGTATGCAAAATGTATTCTCTTGGATACTTATTTTTACAAGTATGGTTATTTTTCATGCACACATTTGTAGGATTTAATTGTCCACAAGGATCATGCATCATATGTTTGACCATAGTAGCATGCAGGTGAGGACTTCTCTTTGGATCTGGTATTTCACAAGAAACAATTTTGTCGACTTGCGTAGAATTAGTGATCTTAAAACTGTTTTAAATATCAGGAGAAACTGAACATGAGGTAGACCCCTTTTTTGAAATTCAATTACATACACATAGGCAGCTATAGGCCCTAGAATTTCTCTCTTTATTAAATCTATTTTTAGTTCTTCAAGTTTTGCTCGAAATATTCGGGCTAACAAATCTGGCATATTTTGTATATTATCATTGTGCCTCAATTCTTGTTTAATTTCGGATCAATTTGGATTGCATGTCATTGTTAAAAATACATCAGGTTCTCCATATCTTTGAACTAAATACATTGCATCCATATATCTTTTAGTTAAATTTTTAGGACCCCCAATAAACCCTATAGGCAACACAATTGATTTGCCAATTTTATAGCCTCTATTCTCATCATTTTGTATACTATCTAAAATTCCTTGGTAAAGCTCACCTCGTATAATCTTTTGATTATTACGAAAATAATCTAATCTCACGGTTTCAATCTTAACATACATATCCACTATATATTGTTGTAGAAGTCTGCCTGTATGAAGGAGTACAGACTTATTTGAAAGTCTAATTTGAAGTTTGTAGCAATAATATTCACGGCACGACACAGTAATTCGTTTCTTACCTCTCTTCATAGCTGAAAGGAAAAAAACTTAAAGTCACAAAGACAGATCTAGAAATGAGAATATATTTATGCACTCTAAAAAGATTAAAAAACTTCAATGGTAATAAAACTTACCACGATCTTCCATCTCTATAAGTTGTTCGGTCGAATTAATGTTATTGATTTGTATGAAATCTTCATAGACTATTGAAGTATTCAAATTTACCTTTTCGATACCTTCATACCATCCAAATTCTCCATAGGTAAATATTAATGGATATTGAAGTAGATCATAACAGCTGTAGTAGTAATTTACTCTATGTGCAGTATTGAAATGTCCATAAATTAATATATCACGAGTCTTTATGCTTGCAGGTGGATCCTCATCAACCCACACTGCAGCCACCTGTTCACATGATGGCATGTTATATACTCTGGTCGAGACCCGGATCAGACCTCAGCGCGATACAGCATGAATCAAAATCAAAAACTTTGCTTAGTGATCTAAAGAAACGACAATATGGATTTATCTTTCAGATATCTATTAACTTTTTCAAAGTTGATTAACTTAACCTATCTGAAATTTGTAGTCTACTATTAATTTCATTATCAGTATCGTAAAAGTATAACTACAAATATGTAGGATTTCCATCAATTGGTAGAAGTGGATTTATAAAATGGTATACCTGTCACTGAACTTTGAACGTATATACACCTCTATTATTCTTGCACAAATTTTTATCATATTTAACACCAAATGAAGTGAATGCAAAATGGTTATTGTAAGTACGAGCAACTTTTTTAAAAGCAATCGCTTCACATGAAGTAGAAGTAAATAGCTCATACAATTCAGGTGGAACACTGTTCAGCTGTAATTTAACTTTTCCATCACAACAACAAAAACCCTTATTTTCTTTGTAAAACTTTTTTGCACCACAATATTTACAAATTGTACAAGACGAAAGAATATAAGGTTCAACTGGAATATTTCGTATATCAATTCTCTTAGAACGATCTAAAATGATAAGAACATGTGAACCACATTGAGATTGCATATTGTCATTTTCAGATTGCTTTTCCACGTCAATGCTTTCATCAACATTAAAATCCTTCTGTAATTCGACATACTGATCAATAGGATCTACAATCATAAAATTAGTATAAGATCGCTGAAAGACAACAAAAATGTAAAAATTGGATTAAAAAATAATTTTACAAAACAAGATGAAAGGAAGTGTAATACAACATGACCAAAAAAAAAACAGGATGCAAAAAAAAATTATAAAAAAAATATTCAATCTACGAAACCTGCTGTGAATTCAGGACAGCATCTCATCCTTCTTCCTGGCATATGTGTAGAACTTGTAAATGCTTCTGTAATACCAAATATTTATGTTAAAATTACGTAAAAAAGAAAGTAAAAAATATTAGACCAACAAGAAATCACATTTAAACAACAAATCATACCTATATGTCTCTTACGCAATTTGTCTTTTTGTACCCTTGGCTGAATTACAAGTTCAGAATCGTGTGCTTGTGTGGATAAGTCCAGCCTTCTTAAACGAGCACGTCCACTCTTAAACCAATTATAAACATTCATATAAGAGATTTGCCCATGCAACGATAGTTCTGAGACTATCTACATGATCATTGACTTGTTTGTGATTTTATTCTCTTGATTAAATATATAGATTCAAGAACTTGAAATTGTGCAGATGTAGGCGTCCAATATTGCTTACCCATTGTATTACTGAAAGAAAGAAACCACAAAAATCAACTCAATAAAATTGGAAACATAACTATGCACATTGAAAATAATATGTTCAGACAAAAGAAGCCAAAAAAATACATACACTTTCATGACCCGAACAATAGGAAATATATCGAAAAAAATAAAAATAAAAATAAAACTCACCAACAACAATAGGTCTATCGTTGAACAAAATATACACGCAATTGAAGACATAGAGAAAATAGAAGGATGGGAGGGATGGAAAAGAGACGATGAAAATAAGGACAAAGACAATGTGCTTGCACGAACGAAAGGAAAACAACGACATTTTTTCGTTCAAAAGGTAAAATGAAAATGACACAGACAGGGAAATGAATAAATTATATTCACCTAAGTACTATAGTTGGAAAAAAAAAAACTAAATATACTTATTGATTTCTCTATTTCTATATTATATATTATAAATTTTTGTCACCACATAAATAGAAATTGTAAAATTTTAAAAATAACATTAAGAAAGTTCGACTATTGGTTAAATTTCATACAACATAAGAAACTCATGTTTAAACTAAAATATAACTTCAAATAAAATTATGTTCGCCAAAACAAAAAAAAAAACAATATTGAACTGTTTGGTGTAATAAGAGCTAAGAAAAAAGAGGGAAAAAAATAATGCCTCCATAATTACGGAGGCTCAAAAGGCAAGGCCTCCGTAATTACAGAGGCAACTCAACTTTGAGCCTCTGTAGTAATTACAGAATCTAACAAATTTCATATTTTTCCCCTTTCTTCTTCCTTTTCCGACTCTCAGCACAAAAATTTATTTTCATTTAATTAACTTAGTTTTTTTAATAGATGTGATTCCTAAAATAAATACATAAAATATAAATCAATTTTTTTTTTATATATACAAAGATTATACAAATCCTTCAAATGAGTAGAAATGTTGATAAATAATAAACATATTAATCACATTTTCAATCGTAACCTTTTGAGTGCAATCAAATAATGTGTGAAATGTGTTAAGATCAAATAGTCACTCACGTGATATTTCAATAATTTTTTCCTCCTCACTTTTGTTTTTGGGAAGAGTAAGATCAGGCTTTCTCGGTGACATATTGTCCATTTTTACAACCTGTGAACCTCTTGTCAAATCTGGAGAAAAAGAAAAAAAATAGAGGAAGTACATATCCTCTAACTTAAATAGCTTCTCGTGTTTTCAAAATTTACATTAAATCACTCATCATATAAAATATTTACATATCTTTACTTGTAGGTGCTCAACAAAAAGAAAATCAGGTGTCTATCTACTCTTTCTTAATTACCCTAGCTATTTTCTCAAGACTAAATTTTGCAGTTTTAACTTATATCTTGTTTATTGAATATAGATGGACTAAATATCAATCTTCAATTCTATTAAAAATCGAAAACAAATCATGAATTTCTTACCAAACTTCATGATATTCTTCTACAACGACATATATGATATTTTCTTTTTTAAATCATATACAAAGTTTATCTTATAGACATGGAACTTCCATTAACAAACTTTCTAACTCGCCTATACCGCAAAATCTACCT